TGCTTTAGCATGGTTAAAAGTCCCTGTGTAATCTTTGTTGTTATTGTGTACGGTTAAGTCAGAACCTACCCATAGCTAACCCTCCAGTGGGTTTTCAGAGGTAGGAAATCACATGGGAGGAGACTGTCCATCTTTCTCCTGTGGAGCAGCTGGTGAACTTGAACTATGTGCCTTCATGTTGGCAGTGCAGCTTCTTATTACTAGACCAAAAATCATCCCTCTATTCTCTGCTAAAACCAAAACGTGTTGCTATTGAGTTGACTGACTCATTCATAGTCATCCTGTAAGACAAGGTAGAACTGCCCCATAGGATTTCCAAACATGTACAGAATTAGACTGCCACATCTTTTTCCTGGTGGATTTAAATGACCTGGTGAGTTCATGTTGCTGTTACGTACCATTGAGTTAAGTGCAATTCACAGAAACACTGTGAACAAAAAATCTGAACACTGTACTCTGCTGTGCTATCCTCACATGTCCTGACACACAAGAGCCCATTGCAGCAGTAACCATGTCAATCCACTTGGCCGAGGGTCTTCCTTTCCTTTGCCAACCCTCCACCTTTCCCAGCAACATGTTCATGTCCAAGGAATAGCAACATGCCTGAAGTATGTGCTTCCAAGGAACACTCTGGATGGACCCTCTCCAAGACAGGTTTGTTCTTTTGGCCATTCATGAGATGCTCAGTGTCCTTCTCTAACACCACAGCTCAAAGGCAACAATTCTTCTGTCATCCTTATTCATTGCTCAGCTCCCAGATACATAGCAAGTGAGTTCATAACCAAGTGCTTAATCACTATACCACTAGGGTCCTTGGGTTTTCAGCAAACTGATCTCATTTTTTACCTCTCATCTCATTATAGTGATTTTCCTGTTCTTGAACATATCAAGCATATTCCTGACCCAGGGACTTTGCTTTTGCTTTTCCTTTGGCGGCCTAGTGGTAAAAAGCAGCGCTGCAATCCAAAGACATATTTTTTAATCTACCAGTTGCTCTGTGGGAGCAGTCTCCATTTATTCAATTTACCACTTCTGAAAACCTGCTGGACAGTTAGCTGTGGGTTGGATCTGACTCGATGGCACACCACAAAAATAACACCTATCTAGAATATTCCTCTTTTTTATTGTGATTTGAATGAAAATTTCCTGGTTTTTCAGTCATTCATATGCATTTTGTTTCATAACATTAATTACAATATCCACAATGTCTGATCTCATTCCATATTTCTCACCCTTCACCCATCTTAATAGAATATTCTTCATTTATATATTTACATGACTTCTTTCTTTGATTCACATTTCTGTTGACATTAGTACCTTTTTAGAGTAATCTTGGCCTATTCCTAAGAAGTCCTGGTGGCACAGTGGTTAAGCTTTGGACTGTTAACTGAAAAGTTGGTGCTTCAAACCCACCAGCCCCTTTAAGGGAAAAAGTTGAGATAGTTCACGCTTGTAAAGGTTTACACCTTATGAGGCATTCCTACTCAATCTTAAGAGTATTGCTTTGAGCTGGAATTGATGCAATAGCACTGGGTTAGGTTGGGTTTGGGCATATCTATTCTATCACTTTTCATCCTCCCATCATTTATTACTACCTTGTCTTTTAGTCTTCTTATACAGCCTGACTAGGGTTTGTTGTTTTGGATTTTGTTTGTCAATCCTTTTCATGTAAATTTCAGAATTTTTATTCTCTAGTGACAGAAGCATAGTAAGTGTTCCTATCAATGACTGGACTCATATAGTATGAAATTTTTGGACCTATAGAATAGAAGGTATTAAGTGTTAGAGATGAAAGCCATTACTGGAAAACACTTATACTTTTTGTTTGTTTTTTCAGTTTTTTTTTTAAATTAATTATTAATTTAAATGAAAATTTACAGAGACTTCGGGTTTCCATTCATTCATTGTTGCACTTTCCTCCCCTCCCAACCCTCCTCCCAGTACACTACCCTCTTGGAAAAGTGAAAGAAAAATTCTTTCATTGTTTTACAAACCCTCCCCACAGGTCCACTCCACTATGCAGCCTTCACTCTGGACTCCTGTCATGACAAAAATACCTAATCACATATCCCTTTTAAACAGTTTTCTCCCTCATCTGTTTCAATGCAGTATACATTATTGAACCCATCTTTGTCAGTCTCCTCCCAACCCCAATGTCAGTACTGTTTTACAACAGTGACACCATGCAGTATTTGTCCTTTTTGTGACTGAGATACTTCACTCAGCATAATGTCCTCCAGGGTCACCCATTTTTAATATTGCATGAGTTCCTTGTTTTTCAATGCAGTATAGTATTCCATTGTGTGAATATACCAGAGCTTCTCTATCCATTCGTTTGTTAATGGACGCTTAGGTTGTTTCCAACTTCTTGCTATTGTGAACAAAGCCGCAGTAAACATGGGTGTGCATATATCTGCTTGGATTGTGGTCTCTTTGGGGTATATTCCCAGTAGTGGAATTGCTGGCTCAAATGGTATCTCTATTTGCAACTTTTTGAGAAAGCGACATACCACCTTCCACAGTGGTTGCACCATTGTACACTCCCACCAACAGTGAGTAAAGGTTCTAGTTTCCCCACAACCTCGCCAGCATTTGTTGCTTGAAGTTCTGTTAAAGTTTGCTATTCTGACTGGGGTGAGATGGTATCTCATAGTTGTTTTAATTTGCATCTCTCTTAGAGCTAGGGATTTTGAACATTTCTTCATGTGCTTGTTAGCCATCTGAATGTCTTCTTTGGTGAAGTCTTTTCATATCCTGTGCCCATTTTTCAATTGGATTATTTACCTTTATCTTGTTTTGGTGCTCAAGTATTTTATAATAAAATTCGAGATAAAAGTCCCTGTCTGACATGTCATTACCAAATACTTTTCCCCAGTCTGTGGCTTCCCTTTTTTAACACTGATGGAGAAGTTTTTGGATGTGCTTAGTGATTTGATTCTTAGAAGATCCCATTCATCTATTTTATCTTCTCCTAGTTGTAGGTTAACATACTTTTTAACTACTAGGTAGAGTAGAAAACCATTAATAAGACAACTCTCACAATCTTGACTTATCTTACTTTCTTGTGACTTCTCAGATCAGTTTCAGGAATCAGGGAAGTTGTTGGAATTCTAATCAAGAGGATCACAAATATTTTCATTTTTTTTTGCCCATTATTTGACTTAGAAGTGCTTGCCTACTGACTTTCTAGTTTCATTTCTGTAACTCCTGTGCACTGTTACTAACATATATGCTCCATGATTTTTCAAACCAACTGGACAGAGAACTACAAGAAATAAAAGCTGAGTTTACATGAGGCCATAGCACTAGAGACATTGTCGCCAATTAACATTTGATGGATGGATTAACATTAACGATGGATCTTGACAGAAAGCAGAGAGTACCAGAGGAATGTCTATCTGTATTTCATTGACTATGCAAAGGTATTTAGCTGTGTGGATCACAACAAATTGTGGCTAACTTTGAGGGGAAATGGGAATACCAGAACACTTGATTGTGTTCATGTCAAACCTATACTTGGACCAGGAAGCAGTCCTCAGAACAGAGCAAGGAGACACTGCATGGTTCAAAATCAGGAAAGAAGTACATCAAGGATGTGTCCTATCTCCATACATATGCAGAACAGATAATTTGGGAGGTTGAGCTTTATGAGGATGAATGTGGTATTAGGATTGGAGGAAGATTCATCAACAACCTAGATTATGCAGATGACACAACCTTGCTTGCTGGAACTGAGGAGGACCTGACACATTTGCTGCAGAAGGTCAAGGACTGTAGTGATTTAAGCTAACCATTAAGAAGACTTACCACTGGGCCAATTATCAGCAATATGATGGATAGGAGATTGAGGTGGTTAATAGTTACAGTTTGCTTGTCTCCACAGTTGACATTCTTGACACCATAAGTCAGGAAATCAAAAGACAGATTGCACTGGGAAAATATACTGTCAGGTATCTCTACAGAGTACTGAGAAGCAATGATGTCATTCTAAAGACTAAGATACACTTGATCCAGGCCATGGTCTTCACAGTTAACTTGCTATGCATCAGAGAGCCGGACAGTGACTAAGGATGATAGAATAAGAATTGATGCCTTTGAAATGTGGTGCTGGAGAAAAGTCTTGAACATATCATGGACCGCCAGGAAAACAAGTAGGTCTGTCTTAGAGAGGGTGAAACCAAGTTTCTTCTTGGAGACTAGGATTTTGAAGCTCTGTCTCACATACTTGGGTACATGGCCAGGAAGGACTGGTCCTTGGAGAATATCATGCTCGGAAGGGTGTAAGGACAGTTCAGGAGAGGAAGACCCCGATGAGATTGATTGATACATAACTGGGGCGATGGGGATTGGTGTGTCAGAGTCGGTAGTAATACTGGCTCAGGACAGAGCAAGCTTCAGAGCTGTTGTACATAGGGTCACAGTGTGTCACTTGCATCTCGGTGACACCAAACAACAACACTGCCTGATATTCATGTTATTCTTTTGATATATTCTTTTTAATGTCCTAGCATATTTTTTGTTGTGATTTTTAACAAAAGTTTACAGAAAAGTTTGATTTTCATTCATTCATTATTGCACATTTTCCTCCTTCCCTACCCCAGTTCACTTTTTTAAATAAAAAATATCCATTGTTGCATAATTTTCTTCCTCCTCCCCTATATCACCTCCAGTCCACTCCACTATGCACCTTTTATTCTGGACTGTAGTTGTCATACAAATAATGCCTAATTATATATTCTTTTTAAAGAGTTCTTTTCTTCATCTGTTTGAGTGCAGTGCTCATTATTTATCCCCTCTTTTCTTTCCCTCAGATCCCTTTATCAGTCCTGTTTTTTAACAGTAGTATTATGAAGTATGTGTCCTTAATTTCCTAGTATATTGTGCCATAATTCTTTATTCTCTTCAGGACTCTGCTTAAACTTTAACAGAGCTTCTAGTTGTCTACTTTGGGAAATACTTAACTCATTGGATAGGGTTAATGTTTTTCTTTTCTTTTATAGACAGTTCAAGAAGAAGAAAAAGAAATTTATAGACAGCTGCTACAGATGGTTACAGGGAAACAGTTTTCAGTATCCAAGCCTACAACACATTTTCCTTTACACCTGTGAGTCACAGAAACATATTTCAACTGAATTTAATTTTATAATTTCTTATTTGATGTTGAAACTATGTACATCTTTTGCTAGGTCTCGATGTCTTAGTTCCAGTAAGAATACTTTGAATGAACCACTGTTTAAAAATGGAAATTCTTGTGCAGCTCAGATCATTGGCTCAGATACTTCATCATCTGGATCAACCAGCATTTTAACTACCCAAGAGCATCCATCCCACAGTGTATATCCCCTGTCATCTTACAACGCAGAAGTCGTTGCATTTGGATCCAAAGATACAGATCCTCTCCATCAATCCCACAATCATCAATCTCTTCCACATCAGCCAGATAACTTAACAGCTTCAAAGTTGGAAGGTAAAAATGATACCTTAAAAATGTATTTTTAATTATAATAGCTAATCCAGATCACAGGTAGTACCTCTTCTGGTCAAAGGTATATTGCAACAGAGCTTCTTCTGACTTCAGAGAATCCTGGGCTAGTCTTCCTGGCTAGAGATGAGGTCTTTGCCAGTTCAGGGGATAGGGAGAGGCAGGGTGTCCAGTCAGAGTTTGCTAGTGTAAAAAGATAGTCATGGTGATGACATGTTGTGTATGGTTGTGGAATGTGTCAGGTTAAGGGTACTTAGTAAGGGGTTAGGGCCCCAGTCAGCTGCTGCACCAGCTAATCCTTGGACTGATTTCAGGCCAGATTTAGTACAGTCTGCAACCTCTAGGAGGGATGTTCTGAGAGTTTCCAGCTTCAGATACAGGATGGTATGAGTGTGGCTTAAGGTAGAACTGGGTATTGTTGGGGGTGGGGTCATACACACGGCCCACCACCTGGTGAGTAATGAGGGATGTTGGGGTGGGAGAGGACAAGAAGGGAGATTAGACCTTTTGAGCTGTGTGGATACCCCTGCTGCTGCTATTGCTGTCCTAGGTTCTCAGAACACATGTATATTGTTGTTTGGTGCCATGGAGTCTAGTACAATTCCTAGCAACCCTATGTAAACAGCGGATCTGAACCCTGTCCTATCTTTTGCCATCTGCACACTTTCTGACACACTAGAGCCCATTGCAGCAGTCCCCATGTCAGTCCACCTGGTTGAGAGTCTTCCTTTCTTCCACTGACCCTCCACTCTTCCTAGCATGTCATTTTCAAAGAAATAGTCCCTCCTAAATATGTGAGGTGAAGCCTCATTATCCTTGCCTCTGAAGAGCACTCTGGCTGCACTCTCTCAAAGATATATTTATTTGTTGTTGTTTTTTTTTAAAGTCTGTGGGTTGTTCAGTGCGTTTCTTCAACACCACACCTCAAAGGCATCAATTCTTCTTCTGTTGTCCGTATTCGTGGCCCAACTCTCAGGTGCATAACGAGTGAGCAGAAAAACCATGGTCTGAATCAGATGCACCTTAATCCTCAAACTGACATCATTATTCCTCAATAATTTGGAGAGGTCCCTAACTGCAGACTTTCCCAGTGCAGTATGCATCCTGATTTCTTGACTGCTGGTATCAAGGATGATAATTGTGGATCTAAGCAAGATGAAGTTGTTGACAGTTTCAATTTTTTCTCTCTCCACCCAGGGTAAAGCTGTTTGGTCACCACATATCAGAATGGCCATGCTGTTTTGTTTATGGTTCTGTGTTCCACTGCTGTCCTTATTTGATAGTTCAGTTCAGTTTATTTCTTTAGTCAATGTTTGAGGTGCTTCTTCACCTTTTCTTTTAAAACTTTGGATGAAGAATTATCATCTGTATCTGTTATCTCTGTTTTCTGTTGTCTTCAGTGCATAGGTTCTGAATTATTGTGTCTAGTCTGCCATCTTGAGTGTAATCTCAAGCTGAAAGAAGTGAAGAGCAAATTCAAGCCTCAAGTTGTAACACTGAAAGATTCTGGTGGGCAAAATCTTGAATAATGCAGAAAGCATCAAAAGAAGATAAAAGAAATACAGAGTCACTGAATCAGAAACAACTTGCTGACATGGAACCATTTTAGGAAGTTGTAGTTGACTTGATAATATCTAATAACAGAATAGCTGATTACATGTATGTTAGATCTATGTGAATTACAAGCAAAACTTATAAGAATTTAGACATAATTTCACTAACCTGGCCATATGTAAACTGAGTATACAAATCAGTTTTTTCCTTATATGAAGGTGTAGATGAAACATTAAAACTTTTAAAATCTTGATAGAATCTAGAATCAGTACATTCAGTGAAATTACTTCTAAATTTTCTCTTTTACAGTGAAAATTAGATAGTCCTAGGAGATGGGAGAAATAAATAGAAACCAAAGTATCATACTTATAATGTAGTATTTACTAAGCCTGTTTAGTAGGTTTATACATTTTAGAATGTTATCAAACCAAGTTTTGGAAACAACTCTTCTCAACATTCAGCTAACCTTTCTTCAGTTTCTTGGAAGAGATCCAGTTAAAGTTTGGTAGTCAATTTATTTTCTTAAATTTTTCCTTTTTTAGGTTTATATTATGTGTATGTTGTATGTATTAAATATATAACTATACAAATATTAGATTAAATTACTAGATTTGAGGAATATTTTGACAAATGAAAGTGATGGCAATCTCTGAGGGATTTTCCTCCTTTGGTTTTTTTTAAAATTTTATTTCCTTTTAAAAATACTTCTTCCTGAATTTTCTCATTGGAAGGTTAAAGTTTTTGCTCACAAATGGTTATAAATCATTATAAAGCTACTTATATGTAAAGATGTATATTTATTAAAATTTGCATTAAATTCTGTTAGGTGATTTATTGAGAATTGCTACTTAAAAGGAAAAGTCTTTTTAATCTCACCACTGGGCCAATTGGCAGCACCATGATAGATGGAGAAGAGATTGAGGTTGTTAACAGTTATAGCTTGCTTGTTCCACATTTACCACTCTTGGCACTGTAGTCAGAAAATCAAAAGACAAATTGAAAAAAAAAAAAAGAAGACAAATTGCACTGGGAAAATCTGCTCTTAGGGACCTCTCCAGAGTACCGAAAAGTAATGATGCCAGTCTAGAGACTAAGGTGCGCCTGATCCAGGCCATGATCTTCTCAATTACTTGCAGTGCATCAGAGAACTGGATGATGACTAAGAATGACAGAAGAAAAATTGATGCTGTTGAGTTGTGGTTCTAGAGAAGGGTCCTGAACATACCATGGATTGCCAAGAAAACAACTAGGTCTGTCCTGGAGATGATGAAACTAAGTTTCTCCTTGGAGGCTAGGATTTTGAAGCTTTGTCTCACATACTTTGGAGGAACTGGTCCTTGGAGAAGGACATCATATTTGGAAGGGTGGATGGACAGTACAGGAGAGCAAGACCCCAGATGAAGTGGATTGATTCAATACCTGGGGTTATGTAAGGAGTTGGTGCGTCAGAGTCAGTTGGTGTGTCAGAGTCAATGACACTGGCTCAGGACAGGGCAGGCTTCAGAGCTGTTGTACATAGGATTGCTATGAGTCACAGACTACTCAATAGCACATAACAACAACAATCCCAGAAACAGAACTCATTTCCCAGCTATTGATAAATATATAGCAGTTCTGGGACAGATACACTAGATTACATTCTCTAATTATTTTTTTGTATCATTTAATAATCTAAAGGAAGTTCTAATTATAGCACTTTAGAAGGATGTGGTTCCTGATATGGGTGAGTGTTCCATATAAATGAAAGGCTAACATAGGGAAAAAAAGATAGGAATAGATCTTTTATATTCCACAGCTTCTCCTGTAATTCTTTTTACTTTCCTCTTTCTCCTTCCCTTTTTGAGCTCATCTATGTGGTAGTTCATGAACTAAAGCCTTTTAGTAAGTCTTAGAAAGTTTTCCTTCCTCAGGAACAGAAAGGAAATGTAAGCAAGCAAGCACAGCCCAAGTATAGGTGCTGAAGAACAAATATGCTTGTCCTTCAAAACAATCACATTGTTTGTGAGGCAGGCTCTTCACTAAGACCTGTTTTTGGTCTCAGTGAAATAGACCAGTCTTCTTTTTCTTCCATCTTTATGATTTGTTATTTTTAAGGAAATGGAATGAAACAAAGTGTTTAAGCTTTTGCTGTGGACATTGTGGACATCTAGAAAATAAATGTAGCATTTTATTAATAATGAAATGCTCTTTTTTCTTTGTTTAGGATCAGACTCTGTCATTTTACTCAAAGTAAAAGATTCCCAGACTCCTGCTCCCAGGTAAACTTTGGAAAAAGCCATTCTTAATATTCTCTTTCATCACAATTCCTTTACAATTTCTAAGAGTTACAAAATAGAGTAGAACTGCTTTCATCCCAAGTATTTATAATGTGTTGTCTGAATTATTTTAATAACATCCTAATTGTTCTTCCTTCTTCCAGCCTTTGTCGATTTTGTCTTGAGTGAGCTTTCTAAAATGCATTTTCCATAAACTTCTTAAAGGGCAACTTATCACACATCAAATCCATCCCAGATTCCTTATGGTGCACAGGTAGTTCTACAAGTTTTATTTCCAAAAATACTTTCCTTTACAAATATGTATTGAGAGCCCTGTTATGTGCCCAGTACTAGGGACAACAGTCTACAGCCATAAACCCAATCCTGTCTTCTCTCGGAAGCTAAGCAAGGTTGTCCCTACTCAGTACTTGGATGGAAGACCTCCTGGGAATACCAGGTGCTATAGGCTTTATAAAAAAAACAAAACAAAAACCAGCATTGTACAAAATGTAAACTGTAAAGGAACTTATATTCTAATTCTGGGGGCAAGGTGGTAGAGAGACAGGGGATGGGGCAAATAATGAACAAAAAAATATGTATATATATACACCAGACAGTGATAAAAGTATTATAAGAAACCAAAAATATGTGGTTGATGGGACAAGTCTCTGATAAGATGGCATTTAGCGAGAAACATGATGGAAGTGAATAAAAGACTTATATGGAAATATGGGTCTGTTTCAATCGTTTTTACATGCTGAACTACGTTCAGTTCTATAATGATATGTACTCCCGTCCTTCACTTTCCATGTTCATTCTGTTTGGAATGTCCTCCTTACCATAGCTTGCTTATCCATATGACAGCAGTCTCCCTCCTTATCCCTTAAGGTTCAGTTTGGTTGAGATCTTAATGAAGTAGTTTACTGTTTATACTGTTAATATATTTGCCCTGTATGATAGCAGCAATGCCATTGTTAGAAACTTAGGGATAGCAAAATGTTCTTTTTTTTTATTGGGAAAAACATATTGGGGGTACAAGGAGGTGAGGGTTGGGGGCAGAAGGGTGAGGATGGGCCAAGATGCAGTTGCAGAGCTGCATAGTTTGGTCGGTGGGGGGAGCAGGTGAAAGAAATGATGAGGGTCCAGTGGGGACCAGATGCTACAGATGAATGACAAGCATTTTCCAATAGTAATTAAACCAACTGTCTTATTGATTTGGGAATTGGATGCCGACTCTCTGGCTTCTTCATGCTGAAGAGGGGCGTAGATGTAAAGGGGGGAAGGGAGGGTGCTCTATCACCTTACTGGTGGTCTTGGGTTACAGCTGCTTGCCTTCTTGCTCTGTTAGAAGATATTGTCCTGTCATTTGCTCCCCTCTGGACTGCAAAGTGTTTTCCCAGGTGGGTCCAGTGGGGATGGCTGGTTGAACCCAGAGGCTCCATCCTCCTTTGCTTCCTTAGCTGTCAGTTGTATTTCCTTTTTGTCACTGGCACTGGGTTCAGGGTCAATTCTGGAGTAAAACTCAGAGTTAAGGTTACCTATAGGAAAGGGAGCAAACCTAAAGAGAACAAACTTGTAAGTTACAAATAGAAGGGCTTTGAGGGTGTTGCTTTCAGGTTTACTGGGGGGGAGGGTGGCAGAAGATGGCCTGGGTAACATTCTCTGGATACCCTAGGCATTCTTTTTTTTTTTTCTTCTCCTTACCCACCCAGGGGTCAGACGGCACAATCTGAGGACTGAGGAGCTCACCCTGAGGGCCGTGACGGCTCGCCCCGAGCCAGGGGCCGAGGGCAGCCCGTCCCGGGTAGAGGGCTGTGACGACTTGCCCCGAGTGGGGGGCCGAGGGCAGCCCGCCCTGGGCAGAGGGGCAAAATGTTCTTTTTAAAAAATCTTAATTTCCCTGCCTTTTTTGTAGCTCTCATGTTTGTTTTTAGCTCTAGATGGTTAAGAAAATAAGAAAAATCTCTTATTTGTTAATAGTTGTTAGGGAGTCTCCACAATTTACATTTTTTTCTTTTCCATGTTTTGAAACAGAGCTGGGTTCTGGTCTTGATTGTAATGAGTATACTAATACTAGAAACTTTGGACAAATTGTAAAGAACCATGCATTTTGCTTTCCTAAGCTAGCTTGATTTACTGAAGAAAAGTATTTGCCCCTATATTATTCCTTTATTCAACAAGATTAAATCCCTGCTATTAGTTAACACTGTGCAAAGAATTTAGCAGTAAATAACACCAACAAAAAGACAAAAATTCCTATCTTCATTAATTTATATTCTAATAAGGGAAGCAGGAGTGGCACCCACTTTCTAAATAACATGCCTCTGGAAACTCTATGACTTTGATAAATGTTGATAGTCGTAGAGGGGCTTCAGGCCTTTGTTCATAGATAGGGTCACTATGATTCGTGCTCAACTCGAAGGCGATCAACAACAGCAATAAAACAGTTTTATTTGGCCAGCTGTTCTGCAGGAGAAAGATGGGCAATCTCCTCTCATGCGATTTGTTGTTGTAGTTGTTAGGTGCTGTCAAGTCAAGTATGATTCATAGTGACTCTGTGAACAGCAGCTCTGAACCCTGTCCTGTGCCATCCTCATCATTCCTGTTAAGCCCATTGCTACAATCAGTGCCAGTCCATGTGGTTGAGGGTCTTCATCTCTTTTACCAACCCTCCACTTTTCCAAGCATGATGTTCCTTTCAGGGAATAGTCTCTCTTGGCAACATGCCCAAAGTGTATGAGAGAAGCATTGTCAGCCTTGCCTCCAAGGAACATTCTTGCTGCTCTTTCTTAAAGGCATCTTTAAGACATCTGTTTGTTCTTTTAGTAGTCTGTCAGGTATTCATATTCTTCTCCAGCACCACAGCTCAAAGATAATAATTTTTTGTTTCTGTCATCTTTATTCATTGTTTAGCTTTCATATGCATAACAAGTGATACAAAAAGACAAGGTGTACCTTAGTCCTCAAAATTATAACATGGTTCATCCATAATTTGGAGAGTTCCCTAACAGCAAAATTGAAACAGTTTCTACTGACCTCCTGACTGCTGGTACCAAGGGTGTTAATTGGTGGATCCAAGTAAGATGATGGAATCATTGACAACGTCAGTATTTTCTCCATCTATCATGATGTTTCTCAGTCCACTGGTGAGGATTTTATCTTCTGAATGTTGATGTGCAATTCATATTGAAGGCCGTAGTCTTTGATCTTCTATAGTAAGTGTTTTCAAGTCCTCACTTTCAGCAAGCAAGATTGTGTCATCTGCATAACACATATTGTTGATGAGTCTCCAATCCTGATCACATAATTCACCTTCTTCCTTATAGAGTCTAGCTTCTCAAATGACTTGCTCAGCATACAGATTGAATAAGTATGGAGAAAGAATATAACCCTAATGTACACCTTACCTGATTTTAAACCATTGCAGTATTTCCTTGCTCTGTTCTGGCAAAAAGTGCCTTAGTATAGATTTCATATGAGCATAATTAAGTGTTTTGAGATTCTAATTTTTCCTCAGTGTTAGCCTTATTTTGTTAATTATCTGAAAAATCTCTTACAAGGTCAGCTATGGGCCAGTTCCAACTATAGTACATAACAGCAATGATAAAGCAGACTCATTTGAGAAGCATGATCTGTTACCGTGAAATTCTGGGTGATTTCTATTGAATTTTTATATTGTATAGCAAATGTGTTCTCATATTCTTGTTTGTAATAACATTTAGAGGACTAGTAACCTTCACAGTACTAGTTCTCTCTGGGTTTTGATCTTGGTTGTCCACTGTGCCAAGAAAATATGCTTTCTCATGTGTTCTCCTCTCATTAACCTGACGGTGGAGAGGCAGTTAAACCACATTTCCATTGCCACGTCCTGTAGCCCAAGAATGGTTGGGAACACTGATTTTCAAAAAGGATAAAGAACAAATGATGCTTTGAAAACCCTTGTTCCTAACCTCACTAGAGTCTCTAATAATCTTACTATTTTACAGATCTAGCAACTAGGGCCTGTAGGAGTGAATTGACTTGTTGAAGGCAAAAACTAATAGGAAAAGCTCTAGAAAGTCCAGATGTCTCAACTCCTAATTTGATACTCTGAGCTACTTTTTTTTTTTATTAAATGTGTCTAGAAATTTTCTTTAGAAAAAGGGCTTGCTTTCTTAATTATTTCTGTTGATAGGACTTTTAGGGAGGTGAGATCATTTCAGAATAAGAGACCCATTAACAGAGAACATTAACATAGCTAAGACTGCTTTGCTAAGCATATTCACTTTAATTGTCAGCAGGAGCCATATGGAATAGAATTGGCCTCATAAGGACAAGATTAGTGGTTAATACTCGACTCTGGTTTATTGGCTCATTAGCTATTTGATAAGGAAGGAACATGGTGGTGTAGTGGTTAAAATTTTTCACTGCTAACCAAAAACTTGGAAGTTTGTATCCACCATCTGCTCCAACTGTGAAAAATGAGAAAACCCTATGGACAGTCCCATTCTGTTCTGGGTTGCTTAGAGGGGGAGCTGACACACTGGCAGTGGTGGTTCCCCCCCCCTTTTGAGTGGCTAAATGCTCTGCTACTACCTTAAAAGGTTTTGAACCCACCAGCTCTTTGGGGGGTGGGATGGAGACTTAGTAATCACCTTCTATAGAAACTAAAGCCTTAGAAGCAATTCTGTGTTCTATACTGTCCTGTAAGTTCACTACAAGTTAGAATTGACTCAACAGCAACAGGGTTTTTTATTCTGTGAGTAGACTTTTTTGGTATCTACTAGGATTTGTATTACTACATTTTTAATCACATAGACTGTCAAGTTACTGAGGAACCTGTAATATACTATTAACTCTAATAAAGTTATAATTCTGAATCATTTGGGAAAGAGTAATGTTCTAGCTTAATATATTATCTTGATAGTGATAGATCTTTCACATAAAGTTTATGCTTTACATGTTTGTAAAGGAACAGATACAACATGAAGGATGGCCAAGTCTGACTTCTGCCTGCTTCATAAAGGGGAACTGCCCCATCAGTCACATCCATAGTACCATACAAATAGCTAAATAGTCAGACATGCTAATCCACATGTTCCTGAACCTATTTCTACCAGCCGTTGGGTCCAATGTTCATTGCAAATTAACTCACAGACTTTACTCACAGTTTTCTCATTTATGAGGGAAATAGATTGGAAAGTGGGGAAAGCAAAGATTTATCACACAATCAAGGTCCAGTTTTAGTCTAGCAGTCCCAACCCAGATTAATAGTAAAATGCAATTCTGCAATTAGTAAAAGTTTAGGTTCTGTTCAGGAGCACAAATGAACCTCTGGTTTCCTCAGTCATCCAGCAAACTTTGTCTCAGAGCAGTTACAAGTTAGCTTTTGAAATCATCCAGGAAGCATAACCTTTAACTGTGGCTCCATCTCCAAGGTTTCTTTGGTTACACCTTGCCACAGCTCTTCACAGCAGTGCCACAGTCTCTTCACTCCACCACTGTTTTTCAGAGTGTAGAAAGCATTCTCTTTTATTGGTCCCACGGCTGTTGATTTGCAAGACCAAGTGTCTGTAGTTAAGTTAGCTAGAGACCATGACCCCAGCAGTGACTCATGCAATGGACTGAAAAAAAAAAGTCAAGTTTCAAGATTTCAGACACCACAATGTCTCATGCAAATAGGGAGTTTTGCTAAATTTATTATGTCTGTGGTGAGCATTGAACTTTAGGTCTTTTTAACTAATATGTATATAAATAGCTTGTGTTTGTATTCCTTTAGGTCCAAGTTAAAATTACTTCATTTAATTCCAGAACCTTTTACTTAATTTTATGCTTATAAAGCATTCTTATACGCAATTTAAAATTTAAATGATTGACTTTGTTAGTGAAGATGTACTTTCTTATAAACTTCTTTTTTTCTTTCTATTCATAGCCCTACCTTTTTCCAGGCAGAGCTGTGGATCAAAGAATTGTAAGTTATCATTTTCTCCTTCTTGTTCACTCATTTTTAGTTAGAAAGATCAAACAATTAGCCAGTCATCCTGCTTATTTTTAAACATTAAGAATTATCTGTATTTTAAGTTGTTTTTAATACTCTGTTGGTAACATTTATATGCTTAAGTTTCCTAAACCTAACAATTCTTGAAGCCAAATTGAATTAGAAATCTTTTAAAATGGATTGTTACATATAAAGGAGAACAAATACCCTCATTTTCATATTGATAAAGTTACCTTATTGGATAATTCTTGTATTTGGAGTTTGAAAAATAATTAAAAGCTCTTAGTCTTGAAGTTTCAAGAAATCACTTTGAATTAATCAGGCTTCCTGCTTTTATTAAATTTAAAAATAATAAAACAAAATTCCTACTTATTTTTTGGATTATAAGCACAGTGATACTTTAATTACAGCTCAATAGTATCTTCTTTTGTATTGCTTTCTCTTTGGGGGTTAATTCCCTTTTTATTTATTTCTAGAATGAAGCTTCATTTTCTCTGTAATCTTGGAAAGATGTTGAAAAGAAGGATTACCCGAATTATGACTGTGCACAAAAGTTATTTGTTCATATTTGGTAGCCAACTGATACTTTTCATAGTTTTATAAAAATGTTAGGACACTTTTAATAATACCATGTGATATTAAATCTGTTAAATATGTGTGTTAAAATCAATATATTACAATTTAAATATGGAAATGAGTTAGTACAAGGAATTTAGGCTTTATATGAAGCTTTATATTTAAGACTCACTGTGCATCTGTAATGTACTTAATACTAAGAAGATGTTCTCCATTTATGTCACTGTTCTTTTCCATACCGTAGAACTAGTGTTTATGATTCCCGAGCACGGGAGAGATTGCGTCAGATTGAAGAGCAGAAAGCACTTGCATTACAGCTTCAAAATCAGGTAAAAAAAGGATAGAATTATAAATAGCACATGCAAGTTTAAACTTTTCTTGCAAAGTTTCTTTGATTTTGGACCAAAACAGTTGTAATTGCAAAATTTTAACATAACATAGCATTGCATGTAAGTGTTACATTTTCTTTGTCTAGCCAGTCAGTACTACTGTATCAAAGACAAATAGATTATTTCCACCCATTTTTTTAAAATTCTGTCTCTCAGAGGCTTCAGGAACATTCAGTACATGATTCAGTAGAACTGCATTTACGTGTACCTCTTGAAAAGGAGATCCCAGTCACGCTCTCTCGAGATGCAGACAAGAAGAAAGCTGGTGAAAATGAATTTCCTGAAATTACAGAGGTAACTAACTACTGTAAATTCCTACAATAGCAAATGCTAAGAGACAATTTAGAAAATTTTAAAATGCCTGAAACTCTGTGTACATTTTAAAATAGTCTGTTCTTTAAACCATAAATCTCTTTGGAAAATGCATATCATTAGAGAGCATAGTAAATATTTTATATTTATGCTGGATTATATATACTTTTTAAATATATAGAAAAATAATGTCTACAAACACTATCTTGATTCCCTTTTGAGCATTAAAGTATATTTTCCATTTCTCAGGACATCACCTCAATAAGAGATACAGATATATAATAAGCTCATTTTTAAAAATTTTTTTATTGATTTGCATACAATAATTTGTCTACATTATATTTCATAATAAGCTCATTTTGTGGGTTTATAAAATTTTATGTCAGACTTCAGAAATAATAGGAGCAAAGAGCCACATGTGCTGAAAAGTAGAAGGGAGAATAAAATGGCATGGAAAATTATAATCAGGGAGATTATTGGAAGGAAATGGAAACCAAAAGATTAGAAAGTACTCAGTTGATTAGTCTAGAGTAGTCAAGGGCTTGGTGAGAAATCACTTTTCCTGAAGCCATGGTTTTTTACATTTTGACATTTTTTTTGTTCCTTAGGAAATGGAGAAAGAAATAAAGAATGTGTTTCGTAATGGAAATCAGGATGAAGTTCTCAGTGAGGCATTCCGCTTAACTATTACACGCAAAGATATTCAAACTCTGAATCATCTCAACTGGCTCAATGATGAGGTAAGAGTGTGTGTGTGTGTGTGTGTGTGTGTGTGTAAGGGAATGTTAAATGAAAAGATTTGTTTCTCAAAATGTGGTCCTCAGATGATCTGCATATGTACCACCTCTCACAGACCCCTCTGCTGTCCTGAACAATTATGAGGGAGTATGATAAAGAGATCCATTTTGAATAAACTTTTCAGGTGATTATTCTGTACTTTAAAAAACCTCTAAATTTACCTTTTCTTATAGTAAAGATGTGGACACAAAAAGAGGATATTAGCTACCTCTTATTTTGAGTCTCTTTATTGTATCTGTTCTAATTTGCTGACCTTGTTGCACCATGAAAGAATGCTTTAAGACTTCTAAATAGGAGCTCATTTCTACTTCCCTATATTTCTCTGAGGAGATGTGGTACTGTAATCCATAGGCTATTGTGCTGCTAATCCAGGAAAAGGTCAGCTGTGAGTTGGTTCTAACTCAGTAGCAATGAGAGAGAGAATATGTACTGAATATCTCTTTGGCAAAAAGGAGCTCTGGTGGCATAGTGTTTTATGTATTGTGTGCTAACTCCAAGTCTAGCGTTCAGATCCACTAGCTTCTCCAAGGGAAGAAAAAAATGAGCAATTTCCTCTCCAAGATTTATAGCCTTTGAAATCCAGTAGAGCATTGCGGTGCGTTGGAATTGACCAGATAGCAGTGGGTTTGATAGATTTAAGCCTGATGAGCTGTAAATTTATCATCTCCATTTAATTGGTGAGGAAACATAGTATAGAAAAATTAAAAGACATTTTTGAGGTGCACAGCTAGTAACAACCATTATTCAAACCTAAGTATTCTATCTTTCTGTTACACTCTCTTGGAATCTTTTTTTGGATTCTAATTGAGAACAGTTGTTACACACCTTTATGGCCCTATGTTCTATCTAGTAGGTTGATTTCTTAAGGATCATGTACCCCAGCCTGATTCTCTTTGTTATTGGCTTGTTTTTATGATAAAAGATTCAGAATCTCACCATTCCCTAAATAACATAAAGAACAGCAGAGAAGGCACAATTCAGTAATCTTGCTTTGAATGCCACATTTTTTTCTTTGAGTTCACAAATGTGATATTAGAACACTAGATCAAATAATAGAGTAATAATGCTCACCAAATCAAAGGGCAAATTGAAAAGGAAAGACAGGCAAAGTATTCATTGAACAGGTATTTTTTTGTTTGGTTTCTGTGGTTTGTTGCCATTCTGTCATTGCTGGAAGGGAGGGTTCACTTATTCCAACCTGATGACAAACTTTGGTGTAAATTGGTATAAATTATTCATAGCCTTCTAGAGGGCAGCAATGAGTAGGATATGGACTGAATTCTTGGTATTTGCTATAGCAGTTACCTCAGACCTCTTACAGAAGCAGCATTCATAAGGACATATTTTCCATTCCCTGGGCCCATCAGAGGCTAGATTTTTAGCAAGCAAAGTTAATGGAAATTACAGTATGTAGAGTAGATGAAGGGAAGGAAAGATTCCTTGTCAACTTTGTCCTTGCCACACCTGTCCATAACTTGTAAGGGGTGCTTGCCTTCTGAGTTCAGAATAATGTTAACCTTGAAAGCAAGTGCTTTTTTCAACGAGATGGAAAAGGCAAATTCTGATTTCATCTGGAATGGAAAAAGACCCTGAATAAGCAAAGCATTCCTGAAAAAGAAAAACAAGATAGGAGGCATCTCACTCCCTGATCTCAAATCCTACTACACGGCTGTGGTGGTCAAGACAGTGGGATACTGGTACAGTGACAGACACGTATTAGTGAAATAGAATTGAGAACCCAGAAATCAGCTCATCTACCTAGAGTCAGCTGATTTTTGACAAGGAGATGAAATCAGTTCAGTGGGAAAATGAAAGCTTCTTTAACAGATGGCATTGGCAGAATCGGAAAACTACCTGTAGGAAAACACGACCCATACCTCACACCATACACAAAAACCAACTCAAAGTGGATCAGGGACCTAGGAGTAAAACCAAGGATGATACACTTCATCAGAAAAGAGATTTGAAGAACTCTAGAAGCTCTAATCCACAACATGAACAGTCTGCCAAAGATCCTGAAAAAAAAAAAACAAACCAACAACCAGAAGAGAATAAAATAGATGAATGGGATCTTTTTTTTCTCTTATTAATTTTAATGAACGTTTACAGAGACTTAGGGTTTCTGTTCATTCATTGTTGCATTTTTCTCCTTGCCCACCTCCTTCCCCAATTCACTCTTCTCCTTGAAAAGTAAAACTCTTTCATTGTTATGCAGTCCCTCTCCCCAAGTTCACTCCACTGTGCAACCTTCATTCTAGATTCCTGTCATGACAATAATACCCAATCATATCTCTCTTTTAAACAATTCTCTCCCTCATCTGTTTCAATGCAGTATATACCATTCACCCCTTCCTTCTCTGTCTTTCCTCAACCCAGATGTCAGTCCCATTTTAAAACAGTGGCCCTATGTAATATTTGTCCTTTTGTGCGTAGATAATTCACTCAGCATAATGTCACCCATTTTGTATAATATTGCATGAGTTCCTTGTTTTTCAGTGCTGCAGAGTATTCCATTGTGTGATTATAGCAGAGCTTCTCTATCCATTCATTTGTTGATGGGCACTTGAGTTGTTTCTACCTCTGTGCTATTATGGACAAAGCCGCAGTAAACATCGGTGTGCATATATCGGTGTGCTTGGATGGCAGTTATGGTTTCTTTAGGTTAAATTTCCAGTAGCGGAATTGCTGGGTCAAATGATATTTCTATTTGAAACTTTTTGAGAAAACGCCATACAGCCTTCCATAGTGATTGCACTATTTTACATTCCCACCAGCAGTGAATAAGGGTTCTAGTTTGTCCACAACCTCGCTAGCATTTGATGTTTGCTGTTCTGTTAAACTTTGTTATTCTTACTAGGGTGAGATGATACCTCATAGTTGTTTTGATTTGGATCGCAGAGTTAGGGATTTTGAACATTTCTTCATGTGCTTGTTAGCCATCTGAATGTCTTCTTTGGTGAAGTGTCTGTTCATATCCTGTGCCCATTTCTCAATTCATCTTACTGTGGTGCTCAAATATTTTATAAATTCTAGATATAAGTTTCCTGTCTGACATGTCATTACCACATATTTTTTCCCTATCTGTGGCTTCCCTTTTTGCCCTGTTGGAGAAGTTTTTGGAGAATGGGATCTTCAAAGAATCAAATTCCTATGCACATCCAAAAACTTCTCCAACAGGGTGAAAAAGAAAGCCACGGACTGGGAAAATATATTTGCTAATAACATGTCTGATAAGGGACTTTGATCTAGAAGTTATAGAATAATTGAGCACCTCAACAAAATAAAAGTAAACAACCAAATTGCAAAATGGGTACAGGATATGAACTGATACTTCACCAAAGAAGACAGTTAGATGGTGAACAAACTCATGAAGAAATGTTCAGATCAGAATCCCCAGCTCTAATAGAGATGCAAATCAAAACAACTATGAGATACCATCTCACCCCAGTAACAATAGCAAAGTTCGACAGAGCAGCAGACAGCAAATGCTAGTGAGATTGTGGTGAAATTGGAACCCTTATTCACTGTTGGTGGAAGTGTAAAATGGTGCCACCACTCTGGAAGGCAGTATGGTGCTTTCTCAAAAAGTTGAAAATAGAAATACCATTTGATCCAGTGATTGAACTATTGGGAATATACCCTAAAGAAATCAGAACTGGCACCCAAGCAAATATATGCACACCCATGTTTATTGCGGCTTTGTTCACAATTGCAAAGAGATGGAAACAATCCAAGTGCCCATCAACAGATGAATGGATAGAGAAGGTGTGGTATAGTCACACAATGGAATAGTATACTGCCTTGAAGAACAAGGAACTCATGAATATTATACAAAATAAGTAACCCTGGAGAACATTATGCTGAGTGAAATATCTTAAGTCACAAAAGGACAGATATGGCATAATGCTACTGTTATAAAACAGGACTGATGTGGGGGGTTGGGGGGGTACTAAGAAAAGGGGATACATAATCAACACTGCATTTAAATAGAAGAGGGAAAGAATTGTCTACAAAATATATTATTTGCATGACAACAGTCTAGAATAAGAGGTACTTAGTCAAGTGGACTGTGGGGTGAGGGGGAAGGAGGAAAATATACAACAATGAAAGAATCTTTTTACAGTGAAAGACAAACTGGAGGGGAGGGTTGTTGTTGTTAAATACCATCGAGTCGTAGACAATTCATAGCAAGTCTATGAACGAAAAACCTAAGCACTTGTATAACTTTCCTTGTTTCTCTAAGTTCATAGAGTTTCCAGAGGCAAGCTATTTTGGAAGTGAATGCCACTACTCCTTCTAAGCCTGTTTTAATTGGGGAGCTTTCCAAAGTTCTCAAGAGCAATGGTGTCACTCTGGAGACTGAGGTGCACCTGATACGGGCCATGGTCTTTGCAGTCACTTGTTATGCATCAGAGAGTTGGACAGTGACTAGGGAGGATAGAAGGAAAATTGATGCCTTTAAGCTGTGGTGCTGGAGAAGAGTATAGAAGATACCATGGACTGCTAAGAAAATGAACAGGTTCAGCTTGGAGAGAGTTAAACCGGGCTGCTCCTTGGAGGCAAGGATTCTAAGGCTTCATCTGGCATACTTTGGACATGTTGCAAGGAGGGATCAGTCCTTGGAGAGGGATGTCATGCTTGGGAGGGTGCAGGGACAGTGCAGGAGGGGAAGACCCTCCATGAGGTGGATTGATTCAGTGACTGGGATAGTTGGGGTGGGTGTGTCAGAGACAGTGAGATTGGCACAGGACAGAGCAGAGTTTAGGGCTGTTGTACATAGGGTTGCTATGAGTTGCAGGCAACGCAACAGCACAAAACAACAAATTAATAAATCATTGAATGGTCAAAATTAAGAGGGGAAACGTGAATTTGCTCAGTCATACGCATCTTTTGATCTCTTGGCCACTGATACTGTGAGTGTTCATTGTAGAGTTTTTAAAAA